GAGGCCGGGGAGGGTTTGGGGAACGGCGGGGAGAAAGTGGGGCCAGGGTCTGGTGCCAGGGGCGCGCCCGGAGCTGGCGGGTCTGTGCTGAGGGGCGGCCGTGCCCCGTCATGGCGCAGGACGGGGTTGCTCGACCCTGAGCTCTCTAGGGAATAAAAATTGCTCCTCGGGGGAAAACAAAAAGTTACCCTTGAACGGGCTTAGAGGTTAGTGTGCCCGAAAGGGAAAGGGGAAAAGAGGATGAGGACAGGCTGAGGGAGCTGGGCTTGTTCAGCCTGGAGAAGAGAAGGCTGCGGGGAGACCTGATTGCGGCCTTTCAGTACCTAAAGGGGGCCTATAGGAAAGACGGGGGAAATCCTTTTAGTAGGGCCAGCAGTGACAAGACAAGGGGTAATGGTTTTAAACTAAACCAGGGTAGGTTTAGACTAGATATAAGGAACAAATTCTTTACAATGAGGGTGGTGAAACACTAGAATGGGTTGCCCAGAGAGGTAGTGGAGGCCCCATCCCTGGAAACCTTCAAGGCCAGGTTGGATGGGGCTCTGAGCAACCTGATCTAGTTAGCGGTGTCCCTGCTCCTGCGGGAGGGTTGGACTAGATGGCCTCTAGGGGTCCCTTCCAACCCAAAACATTCTGTGATTCTATGATGTGCGTAAGAGAGAAACCCTCTTACGGTCCAAAGTATACATATTTGACGTGATGGAAAACCAAAAAAGTACGGCCTGTAAGTATGATCTGAATGGAAAGTAAAACCAAGCCAGGCCTGGGCTTGCACTCTGTAGATGAAGCCACAACTGGTAGATCGTAATCGTCTTGAGGATTGCCACAACTGACGGAAATTACGTACAACGCATTCCTACGTGTCGAAGCAGGACTATTTATGAAAGAGCAAAGTAATCTTCCAGAACGTCCTCTGTCGAGACACGTCTCTCTGCAGTTTTTACTGTTTCTTTCACCATATTTTCTTGGGGCGTTTTCTTCAATTTTATCAAAAAGAAAGAAAAAAGAGCTCCCACGCTGTGTTAAGAGTCCCTTCCTTCACAGTTCTTAAGGAGCAATTCGACTTTAGATTTGCTTCTGTTGAAGGCTGACGGAGCAAGTTTCACCCCACAGCTTCCTCAATTTGTTTCTCTCGCCGACACTCGACCTGGGAGAGGGGCTGCGTTTCCTTTGCCCCATCCTTGGCTGCTGTTTGGGTAGACGTGAAGAGTGGCAAAGAAGCAGCAGCCTGGCTTCATTGCAAAAGCAGTATTAGGACAGAAAAAAAAAGATGTGAGCCTGGGGTAGAGGATTTAAAAACAGAAAGGAGAGATCAGGCAGATGATGGTAGGTGGTAAATCCGTAGCTATCGGAGCACTTTTCCCTCCAGAATCTGATGTAGATCCAAAGGCCGTTGAGTCTCAATAACCCACCGCCTCGGTGCAGCAGCAGCTGTGAAATCCAATGGCAAAAAAGTAATGGATCTTGTTAATAAACGACATGTGGGAGAGAGTATGGCTCTCGGTAACTGAACTGCTTTTCTTATAAAAAATTGCTCCAAAATACAGAGGTCATGGCATTAAAAACAGTGAAAGAAAACTAACGTTTCAGGTGCAAAGTTATGCAACAGCCTAGTAAATGCCAAGATGAAGATTGTCTGTGCAATCTTAACTACTGCCCATGATACACACAGATACATACTTCCTCCCAACACCCTTCTTGCATCAGTGCACGGTATTCTAGCTAACTGTTTCACTTACACTGGAAAATTATTTTAGTAGCAAACAAATCTGTTCTTTTTGTGTTTCCTTTTCCCTACTGAGTTTGCATTTTCATTATAGGGAGGCTTTGGCAGCGATCGTGTTTTAATAATTCCCACAGCTTCACCATCCCCCAGCTGCTTGGTCGTGTTCCCACACTATTTTCTCACCGTGCTTTAGTGTTTGTGAGATGACACAAGGGACCAGATCACCGATTTAAAAGAAAGAAAATTAATTCTACCTCAGATCGCTTCTCTCCTTTGCTTTGCAGTGCAGGCCTATAAGCACGGGTGCCAAGGCATCTGAAGGGGTAATGCACAGATGAAAATGAGCACTCTGGCCCCTGTATCATGAACTCATGGCTTGAGCTTCGTTAAGACCTCCACTCCAAATAGCTAAAAATTAGAAATGAAAGCTTGTGTCAGTGTTTCATGGACATGCTTAGTTCCAGCTTCCTGAGTGAAGTTCTAAGGCTAAAAGACATCTTTACTGAAATACACAGTATTAAACAGGAGTCCAGGGAGAGGTGGGGTTGCTCGGGCATTATCAAAAATACTGCAGCAAATCCCCAGCAGAGATAACAAATAGTGTAGTCACTGCTCAAATGAAAGTATGTGTGTAAGTTTCCATGTGTATATTAAAAGAGACTCAGGAAAGGAGAAAAGTTTATACAGAATTTGAATTTGAAACTCAAAACCTAGGTGAGGTAGGTCCGGCCTCCTGAAAGCATCTAAAAAGTAACATTTCTAAATCAGCCTGACTCTCTTCCCTCTCCACTCTCTTCACTCTGCTTGCCCCTGGGCTTGGGGATGTCTTCTCCCCTCTGTAAGTCAGGTGACTGAGGCCTTTCCAGGCACTCTGGCAGACCTTCATGTTCTTCAGGCTGTTCTCTGACTGAAGCTAATAAACACATATATATTCTCCAACTCCTGTGGGGGTTTTTGTATTCTGCTTTTTTTTTTCCTAATTTCTTTTACCTACTGCTGTCTTTTTTTACAGATTTTTTGTTTCTGTGTTCCCTAACCTTCCCTAGTTTATCTTTCACCCCTGGAAGACAGAATAAATATGGATAGGAATACTTTGCTGTACCCCCTATCTTTACTTCTCTATTTTGCAACCTGTTATCTCATCTTATTCTCGTAGTCCTCTTTCAACTTCACTCAGTGTGCAACCTTTTCTATAATGTATTACTTGAAACCTTATTGACTAGTCTTAGTCCCCTTAGTGTGTGGTATAAAACCTAATTGAAGAGAGGTAGTTCCACTTTCCGTATCCCTGCCATTTCCTTTGTGTTGGATCTGATTGTCTTATGGCTGCTGCAGGGTGACCTGAGTCACTGAGGTGATCCAAAAGAAAAAAAACACCACTAAAAACCCACCAAAACTGTTCTTGATCAGCTTATTGAAATGACTGTATCTTCAGCTACATTATCGCTAGATTTGGTGTAACAATTTTTGGATGGGAATTCGACTGACCTTCCATCAGTCTGAAATTGCGTCACTCAATGTAACGTCACCAGTCTTATCTCTTGCTCCTAGTCCTTCTGTTCGTTTATCCAGTCCCTTTGCTATATCTTCCCTCCAGGCTATGATCCCATGATCCTCCTTTTGGCAGCAGTGCCAACTGAAGTATTCTCTGCTTCTATCCATTTTTTTCTCCTGTTACTTTTAATTTTTGTTGGGTTATGTGCTGAAAAGTAATGAATATCAGTCAGTTTCCTGTCCAGTTCACTGCATGATTGCCCAAACATTCATTGTGGTACAGGAGGGGTTGTGTCAAGGTGGCAGGAGGGGTAGAAAGCAGTAGCAGAGACTATTGAAGCCACCTGCGTGAGTAAGTGGGTAAAGACAGCCTTTCTTCTCCTGCCTCTTTTGTTTTTTCTCTTCTTCTTCCCCTTATCACTGTTTTTCTCCGGTACCTTTCCTCCATGTCCATCCTGTTCTGCCATATGAAACCATCCAGTTTCTCCACTGCCCATTCTCTAGAGCATTCCTGTCTATGCTATGGCACACCACCAGTCTTTATCTCTTGTAACTTCTTCTTCTTCCTCTTCTTCTTCTTCTTGCACTCACTGAATTGCATGCCTTTGTTAAACTGAGATCTTCTGCTGTGCAAATTTAGTTTCAGCGACAGAAGAAGATGTAGGCTTGTTCTGGGCACTTGGTAAGCTCTACTCTGAACTTGAAGGACACTGCTAAGGGAAATTTTATAACCTAACCATGATACCACTGGTCTAATTCACAGATGTCATCTCAGTAAACCAGCTAGAAAAGGAGAGGTTGCTCATTGTTAATTTCTTTGGCTTCACGATTGGTCCCTGAAATTAAATATCCAGCTAGTGTGAAAAACTAGTCCTTGGAAAGTCATGTCCTATATTTTCTGAGGTTAGAAAAACAAATCTGCAACTGTGCTCATCTAATAGGTCGCAAAATGGAGGAAGCTGAGCCAGCCTAAAATTACTCCTGAGTCACAGCACGCAAGGGTGAAGCAACAACAATTTGTGTCTTATAAACAAAAGCTTA